TTCCTGCTGTCAAATCATATTCATACACTTACCATTATTTTTATCTTTAAATTTCACAGTCATGTCACGAGTCACGACAATTAATATTTTTGTCTTTTACGTGTATTTACTTTTTTTCGTGATAAAAAAAGTGAGACAATTAGACAATTAGAAAGGAAAAGAAAAGGTAGGAAAATCTTAATTAAGACGCTATTATATTGTTAACCTTTGTTAACTAGAGTTTGAAATAGTATGTAGATGAATCATTAATGTAGTTATGATGATAAAAAAGAAGGCATTAATTAATGTTTGGAGTTAAAGAAAAAGGGTTGGTTTGTTGGCATGAGTTGAATGATGGTGTGCAGCAGCAGTTGAGTTGAAAGGAAAGCGATCCCTAAGCAATGATCTCTATTCTCCTCCTTTTGGTTTCTTTAAATTTAGTCACAGAAAGTTGTGGGTTGGGTAGTTGAGGTTGAAAGCATGTGTATTTGTGGGTTGTGGGAAGATAGTAAGAGTGAAGCATAACATCTGGCATGGGCTCACAAGGCGTGGCCATGATTGGATCATGAAGCAAGCCTCGTGGGCTTTGGCTTTCCATATAACCTTTATGTTATTTAAATAATATTTGCCCCAAGGGAGCAAGCACTAATTGAATTTTTAAAACTAAATCTGGCGTGACCCCAAATTCAAAGGGGACCATAAAGCAGTGCAATAAGAATTAATGGATAAAAGAGAAGGAACGTACACCTAGATAAAGGCTAAAGCATAAGCTGTCATTGCTTCATGCTTCCCTCCTTTCTTTTAAAACCCCCCACACCATTAATCGATCTAAGGGAGAAAATAGAATGAAAGGAAGAGAAGGCAAAGCATCAGCACCCTCTACTGATCTATTAGTATGTTTCCCATCTCGGGCTCATCTTACGCTAATGCCCAAGGCCATTTGCAGCCCAGCCAGGCCCACGGAGCCCAACAAGCGCCACCACCATCGTAAGAAATCCTTCTCCCGAGGAGGCGGAGGCGCCGGCCAAGCCAGCCCTCTTCTATGGGCCAAAACCAAGTCAATGGGCTCCGAAATAACGGAACCGACCTCCCCGAAAGTGACGTGCGCGGGACAAATCAAGGTCCGGCCCAAAAGCGGCACGTGCAGGAGCTGGCAGTCGGTGATGGAAGAGATAGAGAAAATCCACACCGATAAGAAACAGAGGAAGCGTCTCAACTGGGCGGAGACGCTGGGTTTCAAGAAGGAGGTAATGCAGTTCTTGACATGCTTACGAAGCATAAGGTTTGACCTGCGATGCTTCGGCTCCTTCGCCACGGAAGAAGACGAGGACGAGGAGGAAGTGGAAGTGGAAGAAGAGGAGAATCATGTGGACGAGGCATCCAGAACGGTTTTCTCCAAATGGTTCATGGTGTTGCAAGAGGACCAAGGCAACGGCGTCGGGAGAGAGGAGAGAGAGGAGAGGGAGGAGGAGGAGAGTGTGCCTCCTCCCAACGCCTTGTTGCTGATGCGGTGTAGGTCTGCTCCGGCCAAAAGTTGGGTGAGAGAGGAGAGTGAAGAGAGAGAGATAGAGAAAGTAAAAGAAAAAGAAAAAGAAAAAGAAAAAGGGGAGGTGGCGGAAAAGAAGGGACAGAGTTTAAAGTCGTTGATGGAGGAAGAGAAGAATGTGGTGGTCATGCGCTACGACTCTGATTTTTACGACATTTCCTCTGATGTTGCAAAAGAGACGTGGATTGTTGGCGGAATCAGAGATCTCATGTCCAGGACTCGAAGTTGTAAAAGATGATCGTCCTTTACTACTTTTTATTCCGAGTTTCAAATACTTTGGTGTGACAACTGGGGAATCTATTATGTTAAAATCCCCGTGTTAGCTTCTGCTTTTCTTTTACTATAACTTCCTTAATCTGTACAGTACAGCTTAATTTCTGATTTCTTTGAATAACTTCCCGCTCAAATATTTTGCTCATGTGCCTGCGTCTATCAATTTCTTTACTCTCTTCTGTAGATTCCTATACTTATTTATACCTAGCAATTATTTACGTTATAGTTTTAAACCGCACTTTCTTCAAACAAAGTACGTTTGACAGTATAATTTTAAAAGAAAAGGAGCGAGAAAATCAAGTTATATATTATTTTTATTTAAAGTTTTATTAAATTAATTAAATAATATTTGTTTCTCCACACCTTTGTTGACAAAAAGACAGAAAGTAAATAAATAGGAAGCGATATATAGTGTGACATTAGTCGCAGAGTGAGTTTTTGTACTTTCTTCAACATAGGGGGCCTCTCATGTTGATAAATGTCTCACACTTATTAGAGTTGGCCTCGATGCTCCTATAAGTGAGCATGAAACTTAAGAACTTGTCCTCCTACACCAAAAGTATTTTTTTTTTTTTTGGATTAAGGTGCATGTGCCTTTTGATTGGGCTAGAGTTTTTGCTAAGTCGGTGATGTGATTGTCAAGTTCCTCAAATATGATAACCATATATATTATCGATGTAGACTTTCTTCTTGTGTCCTGATTCACGGAAGACTTTGTTCATTAGCCTGTCGTAAGTTGTCTTGTGATTTTGAGACCAAAGTGCATTATTTTGTAGCAAATGCCAGAGTCATCCGTGATGAAGGCAATTTTATCTTCATTTGAAGGATATATCATGATCTAGTTGTATCTGGAGTAAGAATCTAAGAAGCTTAATTAGTAGTGGGTGATCAGATGCCCTATCAATGAGGCGATCTATATTAGCTAAGGGATATGCATCATTTGGAATTGCCTTTGTTAAGGTTAGTGTAGTGAACTACATAAGCAAGCCAAATGGTGCATGTGATTTCTTGGATGAAGTTGACAGCTTCCAGCTTGCACGTTTCTTCTTTCATTGCTTTGTGTCTCTCGTTGTCCAACTTGCGTTTTCATTGGGCGATGGGCTTAACTTCCCTGCAAATTGACAACTTGTGACGCATGAAATCAAGGTTAATACTTGACATGTATGCAATACTCCATGCAAATGGGTCGATGTCAGCGAGGAGAATTTGTTCAATATTCGATTGATATGTGTTTGCCTATCTCCATCTTTTGATCAAGTTTGGTGCTGATCTGGAGGTCATAAAGTTCATCCACGTCTAGAGTTGGGTGAGTGTCGTCGTGCTCGATGCAAGGCTCTTGGTCGAATCCCATGAGTGGTGGTTGGATGATTGGGGTGATGGTGTGACTTGGGGTATTTGGGTCAGTTGCTTTTCTTGGGACGATCTTTAAGCTCTCGGCATAGCATCTTCCATCCATTCTTTGGTTTTCCCGCATTGTGATTATTTTTTTGTTGCTTGCTGGGAATTTCACTACCAAATGTGGCGTTCAGGCGATTGCTTGTAAGGCGTTCAAGGAGGGTCGGCCAATGAGGACATTGTAGGATGTGGCTACATCCACTAATAGGTACTATACTCTTAGGGATTTTGTGCTTTTGCCACTACCGAACTTGGTTAGGAGCTTGACATAGCTTCTTGGGTTAACACCATGGTTTTAAATTGTGGTCCCGATTGTAATTATTGTGATTGCGAGTATTGTGATGTAGATTGTGATTATTGCAGTGTGAAATTATTAATTATTTGCATTAAATATAAAAAATTATAATTATCGATATATGTTTTATTTTTAAAGATTTATACATTTTTATTTCTTTTTCTAAACATTCTATTATTTTAATGAATAATTTAATTTATTTTAAAATTAATTTAAAAGTAAGAGAAATACAATAGTGGTTAGATTAATTCTCACTTAATATTTGTCATAATTTTTCAAAAGTAGATTGTCTCATTGACGCAAATAAAAAACTTAAAGGTACACATATTTAGACAAATTTCAAATAAACAAGAAAGAAAAAAGGAAATTGTTTGACATAAAGTAATATTATTGGTCACAAGTTTCATTATCATCAATTATCTCAGAAGCAATGCCACCCTTCAGAGATACATTTCACTACAAGGAAAAAATATGAAATTTTTATTAATATTGTAAAACTATAAAAAGCATGATTTTTTTTCACAAGTAAAAAATTATATATAATAAATTTTTAACTCACATGATACTTAGTACCACATAGTAGAGTGATGAGGATGATTATAGCCTCCACTCTCGCTTTGGTTATCCCCTTGTGTGGCTCCTTGTCCAAAAACATAATAAAAAAATCCACCACTTTGTTGTTGATAATAAAGATCATTATAATTCATTGATGGTTGGTGGTATGAGGGAACTTGGACACTTGCATATTGATTGTATATGGATGATGATAAACTGATGGTGGATAGTACCCTTGACTACTTTCTGAAGAATCATCAATATTGAAGTCACTAAAACTTTGTTCAATATGGGAAGATGAAGAATCTTGACATGACACATTCTGTTTATTTTTTCCTCTTCTAACTTGTGAATTATCTCTTCTATTATTACCTAAAAATGAACGATCAAGAGGAATCATACCTGGCATAAAAGTAGTGAAATCAATTACCAGATTTGTGTCACGCCTATTATATGGAATCTCTTGATATGGATCATTTTGTCTTTGTTCATCCTCATCATCCTCACCATCATTTTCTTCACCTTCAATATCAACACCATCATCACCACTATTATTACTTGGTGGGCTTAAGTCACCACCATCATTATCACTATCTCCACCTTCCACATCTTCATCATTTGTATCAATTTGAGGCAACCACTCTGAATTTTGAACTCCATCTAAAAGTGGATTTTCTCTTTCTTCTATCCATGGAGATAATGGATCATCTTCTCAAAATATATAATCAAGATTAATTGGATTGAAACTTGCTTCAATTTCTTCTTGATTTTTTCTCATTTGATGCCTCATTTTCAATTTCATGTTGTAATGTGTAATGACAAGTTTTTGCAACTTTCTGTACTTAAGCCTATTCCTTGTCTTTGTATGAATATAGATAAACGTACTCCAGTTTCTTTCACAATTTGTGGCTAAAGTTGTTTGACTTAAAACTTTAATAACCAGACGTTGAAGTTCAGGAGAGCATGAACCAAACATCAACCACCATTCAGCTTTTTAAGAGACCAAGCAAAAAAAAAGTTATTATTTATAAAAAAAAATACATTTATTTATTGAGAAAGGAAGAAACTATATTTACCTAGATTCATTCTAGACCAAGCTCTTTGAGCTTGAGGTGTAGCAAATGTTTCACCCATGTCTTTAAACAATAGCAACTATATAACATTATATTGTATAAGATATCAATACATAGTTATATAACAATAATTTAAAAAAATATAATAATTTATTACTAACCGAGTTCAAAGCTTTAATTTGATCATCCATGTTTCTATCCAATTTCGTAATGACCTTTTTGGTCTCTTCAAATGTCTCTCGATATACATCAGATTCATGTTCAACTCCATATTGAAATTGTGGATTAAGAAAATAACCCTAAAAAATAAATAGCTAATCAATATATATCTATAATTGTACGTATTAATGTATTGCTTTATATAATAAAAGTAAAATTATAATGACATACCAGCAGAATGAAGATCAGAATGCATGAATCTCCAACGCTTATCAATTATTTGTTGGTATTGAGAATAATAACGAGAACTTTTTTGAATTGATTATTTTGCTCGATCAATTGCCTCATATATAAAACCTGTACTAGTAAGCACCCTTTCGGTCATGCAATAGGCCGAAAGGGGCGCCCAAACTAATGAAACGCACCAATTGGCACCCCTTCGGTCGGACAATAGGCCGAAAGGGGGGGCCCGAACCAAGGAGCCACACCAACTGCCCCCTCAGGTCAGGAAATAGACCGAAAGGAATGTCCTAGCCGATGAAACACAACACCCCTCCGGCCCCAAGCTTAACCGAACACCCCTTCGGCCCCAAGCTTGGCCGAACACTCCCTCGGTCTCGTGGGTAGCCAAAAACCCAAAGAGAAGGGATCTGAAGCTATTCAAAACACCCCTTCAGCCCCAAGCTTGGCCGAACACCCCTTCGGCCCCAAGCTTGGCCGAACACCCCTTCGGCCACAAGCTTGGCCGAGCACCCCTTCGGCCTTATGCTTAACCGAAAACCTGAAGAAAGAGCCTATGATAAACACGTGGCAAGCCAAATGCCTACTATGCATTAATTACCATACCAGATTAAGACAAGATTAAGGTTAAGTCATGTATTACCCATTTCCCAAGGATGAAGGCCCATCAGGCCCGCATATGTCACTATAAATATACAGGTGGTGTGACATAAATGAGGTACGTTACTATTCAACATAAAGGCATTTATTGCTCTATACCGAACACTTACTTGATCGTTGGAGTGCCTTTGCAGGTACCCTCCCCATCCTTTAAAGACGGTGGGTGTTCGATCGGGACTGAAGACTTAGAAGATCAAGCAGGAAGAACGACGAGAGGAGTGTTCCTACTCAGGAACAAAACCCATTGTTGGTTTCTCATCACCATCAACTAGCCTCAAAACTTTTACTAAAGGCTCAAATACCTTCAATATATCATTAGCCTTGCTCCAAAAATCATTGCCAATAACAATTTGTCTTGCTTCAAATGCCAATCCATTTTTGTCTCTTCCAAATTTAGATTGTCTAAATTCTTCAGAGTTGAACATGTTCCTCAAGCCTTGCTTTTGTTGCACAGTTGCTTGAAGTTGTAAGAATTGTGTTACAAACCGGGTAACACCAGGACGAACAATTTCTCTACCTCCAATGTATTTTTTCATGAGATTTACAATCCATGTGTGATTGTAGATAAAAGTTGTTACTACTTTTGCATCACTTAATAACTTTTGCACATTCTTTTTTTTATTCCTATATCCTACAAACAAACATCCAAACAATGTGTTGCACATGCAGTCCAATATAAATGTTGTCTCTTTTCCATCAACTTTTGACCACCTGCTTTAAGTGCTTTTTCATTATTTGTAACAACTTGAATTACAAATTCTTCTCCCA